AATCTCTCATTGCAAGCTCAGTCGAGTAAAACGTCATGCCACTATCACGGATGTGTCCGAAGCATGGCCGGCGACCCGCCCGAGATAACGCCCTCAATTGGGTTCCATTGTCTCTGAGCAGCGTCTCGATGGCGTTGCGTTGGTGGACGGCCGCCGTCGACGGCGGCTGCAGAGGACTTCCGATTGAGGGAATCCACAAACAATATGGTCCGCGGGGGTCTGAGGGTTTTGGCCATGTACGGCTAGCAGAAACTGGTAGAACGGGCTGACTGAGGGCGAGAGAGTTTTTTGTGATAGTTGTTGCTTGTAACCCTTTTTATTCTGGAACCGAGCGAGCAAGGCAAGCCGTCGACCGTCCGTTCGAAGAACATCGGAACGTCTCGAGGGGCTTTGGAAAAACAGCGACGACGGTGATGGCGGGCGCGTGGATGGGGGCGTGTTGGTGGCAACAGCAGCAGATGAGTCGGACCCAGGCAAGCTCGTCGAGAGTTCCCGCAAGACTTCGGCAGACTTTGAGGGATTGCTCGAAATCAATGCGATGGCTTGCCAACAACAAAAGAGTTACACCGACGTGGGGAGCAGTGCCTCAAAACAGGAATGGGCATGGGGATTTTCCTGGGACGGGGGTTGCATCGGGAGACGGAAGCTCGAAGCGACGCCTCGGAGGCGCAGGAAGGATGGAGCAGTCGGGAAAGAGAAAAAACGCGCACTAACACGACTGCGACTGGAAGCGCTAGTCATGCAGCTAACCGGAGAGAGTTTGAGGAAGATGTACAAAAGACAGCAGCGGGAACTCCGAAGGGTTGCGCTGAGGGCGCAATTAGAGGGCGCCGTGGACAGCAATCGTATTACTGACGCTGCGCACAGATGTGACGACAAGATCGGCCGGCGGGCGGGCGAGGAATTCGTCGATCGAGGCTGTATGGAATTAAGTTATGACCGTCCTCACCGGTCGCGGTATTTTTTTGTATTACGCGATACGAATTTCGTTTCGGGAAGATGTCCGACAGCGGTTGACGATGGCGTCTCACTTCTGGATCGACCGTCGCGGGAAAGCTCCTGATAGAGCGTGACTCGGAGCGAATTCCATGGATTCGATTGTCGGAGACAGAACAGCTCGTGCTGATAACGTGTGTTACGGTCCTCCTCGAAAGAGACGGAGGTTTTCCATGGCTGCGATCAAATGAACGATAACGAACAATGGAAGTCGGAGGAATAATAAACGCTACTGCGAACGGACAAGTCGTCTCCGACGGAACGACAGCGGACGGAGGAAGCTTAAGGATGCTCGGACAGGGGATGAACAAGAAAAAAATAGCGTCCCCCGAAAGACTGCTGCTTGTAGCGGACAAAGAGAAGAAAACGAGCACAAGACGTTTGTCGTCAACGACGACTCGGCCAAAGACAAGCAAAGGATGGAGCGGCCGCCGGCTTGACTGACGGCCGAAGCGATGGGACGAGTGAGTCGCGGAGGACAAGCGGTCATGGCTGGGAGGGGACGGCGATGAAAGCAGATAGAGAGAATTAGAAGGACGCAAAGAGAAGCTGCGCCGCGCAACAGTCGCATGAGCCTTAGGAAGTCGCTGGAGTAAGTAGATGGGCAGTCCTCGTGGCGGGCTTGATTAAAATGGAATAAAGCAACGTAGACCAGAGAAGAGGCCAGATATCGGGAGCAAATCGGCGAGATGCGTGAGTGATGGTCGCCTTCAGTCTCTCGCGCAAGACTGTTACGGCTGCCGGCGAACATGCAGATCCGAGTTCCTATCCGCCCTCGTGAACGCGCTCTCCGCATCCGCTCACCGAGATTTACCCTTCTCCAAATGGAGTCTGAGGCAATATTTGAGGAATCAGATCGGAGGGCCGGACCCAGAGACATTGAGGAAGGAAGTATCCGCCTTTGTAACTGCCGACAAGGTTGCATGCTCTCTCGAATGCTTAAGGATGGGAAGAGGCTCTCACCACACTCCGTGGTCGAGAATTCGGTGACGGGGAGGGTTCCGGGACGATCGGGGAGCACCACGCCTGCGATGAGTTCCGTGAGGAGAGACATTTGATCTTCGAGAGCGAGCTAGGAACAGGGGGTATTCGACTCTATGTATACGGTTGCGAAATCATCATCATCATCGTGAAATCGTGTCCTGAGGAAAGAATACGCTTTCACCGTCACGGCTATCGCGGAAAGGATTTCTCGCCTCGCCGCGAAGTCAGCGTCGAATCTGGATAGTCGCAACACAATCGAGGCATTCCTTTGCATGACGAATATGTTTATTTGTACTTTTCATAATTTCAGAATGTTTGCACGACGAAATGCTCGCGCTGTGGTACGCTCTTCGATCCCGTTGTTGTTGGGATTCCATTCCAGAAAGAGGATCACTGTGCATGGAATAGGAAAATGACTTGTGCGGCGGCACAATACAATCGCCGCATAGCGTCGTTTTCCGTCGTGCTACGCTGTGAGGTACGGATGCCTCCGAATACGTAGAGAAGAAAGGCCGCTTGGTCTCGGCGAGCGTGCTTGGTTCCGACGCAACGTTACAGCCGCAGACAGCTATCCAGTCGACATTGCTCACATGTATGTAGAAGTGTCGAGAGGGAGCCAGCGGGCGAGCGGCGGGCGGGCGGACGGGACCCGGACGGACGGCAGCGTCGCACGGCATGGATGTCACGTGCGACGTCGCTCGAACGTTGAGAACTCGACAGCAACGGGTACGGCGACACCGTCATTGAGAGGCTATGAACCCCGCTCTACTCGACGAGAATGCAGCCCGAGAGGGAGCCGGGGAACGCACGCGACTCAGAAAAACTCGCCAAGAGAGTGAGCGAACGCAGGTCGAGAGGGATTCGGGCAGGGGTCGATAGATGATGGAGGCGGAAAGATGACGAGATTCGACATTGCGGTAAAGACGTGACGGTGGACGCGACTATCCGTCCTTCAGCGGGTCGAGAACCTGCAAGTCCGCCCATTGCAACGACAGGCAGGTCGCTTGGTGTTTCTTCACTGACTGGCGGTGATTTATAAAGGTAGCTGTACGGAGAGCTGCCGGTAAGAGGTAGGTCGTCGAGATGGGGATGCCGCGATGTCTAGTCAATATTATTGATTATCTTCATTGAGTCGCTCTTACGGTGCCAACCACGCAGACGGGTGAGGGGGGCAAGCCGTCGGTCCTGCCATTCCGCGGCGGGTCTTGTCGGTCATAATAACGTGAGCGAGACAAGAATTTTTTTCTGTCAGAACACTGGAGCAATCAACAAACGAAATGAGTCCGGTAGCAATTACTTATCGCTTTCTGCTTCTAATCATCCACAAGCGACATCCACGGAAGGTTCGAGTGTAGCTGTTCTCTTCCACAGAGGCCAACACAGAGCCGTGCGCGGAAAAAATCACCTGTGAAATCTCTCACCGGAGGGGGAGCATAAGGATCCCGTTTGCACTCAGAAAACTTGTTCGAGTGGATTATCAGAAGAGAAAGGGAGGAATTATCGGCAAGGGAGGAGCAATCGAATAAGCGAGGTCGGCGGACCCAGTCGAAGAAGCGAGAATTCGACGACCTCCAGACCACGTGGAGTTCCCGTCTGGACTTATCAGCAACAGGGTCTCCCGATTCCACAATTCGCGGGGAAGCTGTTGTAATTCTCACGACCAGCGAGATATTCCCCCGCTCGGCCTGCGTCCAACGCACCGAATTATTAGACTGATGGAATCGAATGGAAAATGTACGCGACTCGATCTGGCGGCCTCGCTGCGAGATCCATGCTCCATGCGGCTGCGATTGTACTCTTGTTCAGAGGGCCAGACCAGGTATCGCATCTGGAGGGCAGAGACTGAGAAGACGGAGGGAGATAAAGTCAGGTTAACGAGAGGGGAGCGTGACCTTCAGATCTCCAGAGTTTTAGTTTACTCGCCATGAGAGCAGTACCGGCCGCTGAACTCTTCGCCTCTTCTTGGCTTTCGGGCCGTGTTCGGCGTAGTTGTCGTCGGCCGGCGAGCGAGCGAGATAACTCCCTTGGGCCCCGAAGCTTCTTGAGGAACTGGCTGTGCCGACACGCTTGACCGTCTGAGACAAAGAAAAAGGTGGAAAAGCCCAGTATCTTCAGAGTATTTTTTTCTTCAAGTTCCGCGGTCCCTCATCTACTTTCGCCCAGCTCAGTCTAAGGCAGGGGAAGTAGGTTCCCCACAACATGGTCGGAAGACGGCATGGAACGATACCCGTGGCTGCCGGGTCGAAGTGGACTGGCGGGATCCCGTGAGGGTTGAAGAATCGAGAGTGCGGCCGAAGAGAAATTGACCCTAAATCGAAGGGAAAAGAAGGTGGCTGCCGAGCTAATTTTTCCAGCGGGTTCGCGAACGTTTGCTCAACATCTGCTTCTCCTCCCTCGTTGTCATTCTTCCGCCACCCCTCTGCTCTTTCCCACTGTCGTCCGGCTGCCATCGCTGACCACCGTCGGCGGCTGACGCTCTTCTGCCGCAAAATAAATATATTTCATTTTAAGCCATCCACTGAACAGATTTGATTTATGATTCCTTTTTGCCAAACACTCGCCATATCCCGGAGGACGGGCGTGCGGCCGGTTTGTGGCCGAGCAGGGAGGACGACCGTTGGGTCGAGCACGGCCTCAGGCAGGCACCTCACCGCCTTTTACCCTCCCTCCCCAAATGATAAGTGAATAGCAGATAAGAGCCTTCAAAAAACGATAATTATTTTCAAATCTCTTCGTCCTTTCCCATCTGTGTGCGGGTGTGAGTGCTCCTGCCGCCCGCCCAACTGTCGTTCTTTTTGCGAGTGCGCCTGTGCGACTGTCGAGAGGTAAAGAACTATTACAGGGCGGGGGAGCGTTTGATTTTCGAACGACGCGTACCTAGCTCCGAGATCACCTATGGCCCCCGCGTTTTGATGATTTCTTGATTCTTCAGTTACAACGGAGCGAAAATTTTCCGCCGTGAGGTGGAACCCTACCTGATCGAAAACCATAAAAACTTATCTGTCTTTTTTTCCTTGCAGATTATCTGGCGAGCATCCTTCCTCGGGTCCCTGTTCGGGATGGCGCTCCTGACAGTTTGCTTCGGACCAAAGTTTCTGACGGGAATCGGACTCTACGGGATGATTCTCTCGTTTTTCCACTTTTCCGAGTACATTGTCACTGCCTACATAAATCCAAGGTGAGCGAAAGTCGATTCCGGAAGAAATCCGGAAACGATATCGCTGGCCGGCTGCTAATGGGCCTAGATTAGTGCAGCTCGCAAGGGTACTTTGCATCGTCGGAATCATCGTTCGATATCGGACAACTCCGCATATGCGGACGATATAGCGTGCAAGCGGCAAACATGCAGCCTGCGTCTCCTCATCGGGCTCCAGGCATCACGATTGGGATTACTAAGCTCTCGAGGAAATTGGACGACGCGAGGCGAGAGGAGTTCACTGTCGTGAAAGAAAAAGTCACAGGCATCGTCACCCCGAAAATTTCGGGGACAAGAGCACAAATTGCCCTGATCGGGAATGCGCTCGGCGATATTTTTTCCTTTGAGTGCATCGCATTAATAGACCTCGCTCGGTATTTCATGCACTTTCCAAGGCGAAGGAGCGGCTCTCCTGAGTGAGAGTCCAATATCACTTAGGAGCGCGGCGCCCAGAGGTATCTTTCAGACGGGCTCTCTTCTTCTACGAACGGAACTCCACGCGGGAACCTCCCTGTCCTGATTGTGGCCCCTGAGTGAGTATTCAGCGAGCAACGCGTGGTGGGAGTCGTTCGATTCAGGCCTTTCTCCAGACTCGCTGCTCCCCTCCTCCACTCCGAGCGCTGGACGGACACCGAGTGGGAGCGCTGCTCGCTCGACAGTGATGACCAATGACATCAACAACGTCGCAAGGATTTTTTCCGGTGCGAAGACTCCTCGAAATATCGGACGGAGGGGCCATTGTCCGGACAAGCGCTGAGAGGAGCAACACCACAGTGTTGTCCTTCACGAGGAACGCGACGGCGGACTCAGCGGAAGCAGACGCCATTCAATCAATGAAGGCCCTGTCCAAGCCCTATTTCCAATACGACGCAATGTTCGAGATGAGGTGTCTCGTCGACACGATGGCCACCGCAACAACACCAATGTTGTTCGACGGTGACTCCGATACTCCGCTCCCCGCAGAGAAAGCGGTTCTCGGATACACCTGCGCGGAACCCCCCGCTGCCGACTGACCGACCGTCCAGAGCCGACCAGGCGACAAGACCGACAATGCTCGCCTGAACAGATTCGCTGAGGGTTCGCGGCGTTGCTAGACCGACGTTGAATTTCCCCCCGCGAAGTTCCACAAGCTCTTCTCCCTCCCCGGACGCCAGTCGGGGCTCAGTCTTTCCAGTCGGGCTGTGTGACATTCCGAGCAAGCCGGGGGGTTCGCGGAAATTGTGGGAGAGGCTGACGAGGAACTGGTTGCGCCCCTTGCGCTGGCGAAGGAAAATTGCTTGAAATTCAACGAGGAAAAAAACCGACGAATTCAACGTCTTCTTTTCCGAGAAACTGGCTGACGGCTGTCTCGAGTCGGATTGAGAGCGGCAGCCTAGTAGGTTTGCTCCTGTTGGATTGCCCTTTTACCCTGGGCCCCTTATTCGTTCGTTCTTTGCAAACGCGTTTGCTCCACCTGCGTGCCCCTCCTTGAATATCCAGAGCGGCAGCGATGTCGCTCCCCCGCTGTCCCCTATTGCTCCCTCTCCCTCTAGACCGACTGCGTACAGCCGCCGCTGACGCCGCCGTCTGGCTGGAGACGCGGAGTGCGGCGACGGAGCCTTTAAATCCTCTTCGATTTAAAAGCGTTGCAGAAGCTAGCAGTCAGTCAGTCAGTCTCCTCGCAGGAGGCAGAGAAAAAAACATATAGAGCAACTTGAAGGTCCATATGTCAGAGTGCTCTCTTTACTGCCGAGGAGGAGTCTCGTCTGGTATTCCCAACAGTGATGCTCAATCCCCACTCCTCTTCTCCTGGAAGCGGCAATGCTGTAACCAGAAGGGAATTCTGGACTAGGATGCCCACAATCATGACGAGCATTCACTTACCTGGATTTCAACAGCAACATCCATCGCTCATTTAATAATGCGATATACATATATGTATGTTTGTATGTTGATGCGGGGAGTTATGGGCTCAAGGATTTCGGGCGGAGATTTGTCACTCTGGGTGCTCGGGGAATACGAGTTCGATGGAAGTTATCGCCCTCCTCCGTGGTCATTGTGCTCCGTCAGTCTTTTCGACTGAATTCGCAGGAAATCCGAAACAAATCACTCGGAATCGAGATCGGACACGTTTTTCAACCAGATTGGAGGCTCGATCGCGGATTAAGGATCGCCAGGACCGAAACGATAGAGCACGTTCGAGACGCAAGAAAAGCTCATAATCTGGGCCGCTAAGCCTGATTATCTTCTTCGTTCACCCCTGCCCACCCCCGCCCCCTTTCGCGCTCTCCTGGAAGTTCCTCCAAGGACTCCAGCTACACCTGGATGACCGATGTCCGTCGGAATGTCGCATTCGTATTTTACAGTCCAATCACTCTGGTATTTTTCTTCTCTTTCAGATTTTTGAATCTGGATTCCTTCTTGCTGAATCACTCGAAAGAGTACCACATTGCCATGCTGGCGAGTTGGCTTGAGTTCGCAGTCGAATGTTATTTCTATCCAGGTAAGATTTCGGCTTCCACGCAATCGCCGTAGGTGAGCAGTATGAGGTCGCATGCCGATGCGAGCGACTTCGTAGTTTTGTTCGAGCGTTCGGTGGGAACGAGCCGTATCTGGAGCGAGGAACTGTTCCAGTTGACCTGACCGTTGTTTTTCTTTTGCGTCCTCTCTTTCCGCAGATATGAAACAGCCAGGCCTCATCGCCTACACCGGCTTGGGTTTGTGCTGCTCCGGCGAATTGCTTCGCAAATGCGCCATGCTAACCGCCGGCTCGAATTTCCATCATTTGGTGCGAGTGAAGCGCGAGGAAGATCACAAACTCGTTACCACCGGCGTCTACTCGGTGTGTCGCCATCCGAGCTATGCTGGTTGGTTCCTGTGGAGCGTCGGCACTCAGGTATCTATCTATTCGATTCGTTCCTATTTACGTACATTCGATCCGGAAAATTATGCAGCTTGTGATGAGCGAGCGATCGGGGCCCCAGCTTCCATGGAGTCATGGAAGCAAAGAGAAGCAGTGGGTTGGAGTGAAAGGCAGAAAGTCGACAGCGTACGGAGTACCAACAGGTCGAGTGAGGCCCGCCATTCACGATTCGATGTCATTTACGCCCCACTTGATGATGTCGATAATGATGATATAGCGAACGTGCGTTGAATTCCAAAACGAGTTTCGCCTATCTTGCACTGCGCTGATGCTTCAGGGACGGCTGCCTGACAGGAAAGTGGGTTGTCGGTCAGTGGACTGGCGGATCGTACGCCGCTGGGCGGCTACGAATGTGTGCGTAACAATGACGACAGCTGAATTTCGCTCCGAATTGTTCGGCGGCGGCGGCTCGGAAAGATCCGATCGCGGAGTTTCGAACGGCTGTCTTTTCCGTCGACATCCTCCTCTCTCCATCTTCTTCACATCATTATTTCGAGATGTTTTGCAGCTTCGCTTCTCATCCGGCCAATAATGGGTACTTTCCAAAAGCGGTCCCAACGGAATCGCTGAATTCAAACTCGATCCCGAAAAGAGACGGGCCCCTAACTTACTAGACATGAATTCCGCAGTTTTTATCCCGAGGTTTTATGATGCAAGCGTCGAGTGAACTCGTGAGTTCCTCGCCCTTGGTTTCGCTAAATGCGTTCCGCATTACTCCTGGTGGAGGGGGTTGGCGAGTCGGCTGCTCGAGAGACTCGCTCCCGACCCGATCAGCCCGGGGAGCGAGCAGCCATGAGCAAATCGTGTAATTCCTTCCGTTAGATCCGAACATGTCGAGAGTTCCGGTACGGAATACGTTGGAGGGACATCGATGAGGGGAAGAGAGTGCGTGGGAAGCAGGCCGGCAGAAACAATGTGTCGGTCGAGTGGACGAGCGGGTTGGTCGAAGACAGTTAGCTTGAAACGACAACAAGGGTCACAGAGATAGAGGCGTACTGCTTCCGTCCCTCCGGTTTTTCCAATTGCCCCGCCTGTTTGCGTCGACGGGAGGGCGAACGGAAGCCGACGTCCTCGCAGGGATGTACTGCTGCTTCTACTACTACTACTGCTAATAAATAGAAAGCCCGCCCGTCCGCTCGCCCGCCAGCCCGGGCGCCCGTCCGTCCGACCACTCGTTCGCCTGCCCGCCGTCTGTCTCTTGCAAGTATGAGAGCTTGTTGTCAAGAAGAGGAGAAGCTTCTCCATCACCGGCCGGCGCAGCGACTACTGGCCGCTTCGAGTCGTATCCCTTCAACAAAAGACAGTGGGAATCCTTAGCCTTCCTTCAGAGTCGTCTCTTCTACAAAAGGAAACCCTCCAACTCCGTCCCCCACGCTTTCTATCCCTCGCTCAGGCGTTCCTTCAGGTTACTACCGGTGCATATGAATACATCCGTGTCGGCCAGTCCGCCGGCGGAGTAACATCTTCACAGGTCGATCATTTTCTCTTTCTTCCGTCGGAACGAGTTGCGATTGATCGACGACGGAGTCGGAATTGAGCGATTCCAGGCCTCAGGAGATCGTTTCGAGTCGCCGCAGAAAGTCGGACTGGGGCTTCTACGCTCTCACGATAATTCCATCGCCGCGCCAGACCGTTCGTTAAGGATTTTTCCTGAAGAGCAGGGACGAACGATCTCACGGACATCCCCTTGAAGGAAACGATCCCTAGTAGAATTATTGCATGTCTTGGAGAGAACGGAGAGTTCGTCCGATCCGATCGATAACATTCGCCTTTCTCTGTTTCAGTTGCTCCTGAACAATCTTTTTTGCACCGTAGCGTACACCATGGTGACGTGGGTGTTTTTCCGCGAGCGAGTGGAGGACGAGGAGATAACGCTCCTAGAATTTTTCGGGAGTGAATACGCCGATTATCAGAAACGCGTCGTTACGGGACTGCCTTTCATTCGAGGATTCAAAGCGGACTTATGATTGAAGGACGAGGAGGATTCGCTACGGTAAGAGCTGCACGCGGCAAGCAATCCCCTCCGGAGCTGATTGCGCGGAGTCCATCCCGGGTCCACGAGGACACCGAGGGCGGGAGTGTTATTCAAGCGAATTGATTCTCTCTTCGTTCGAAAATCAACCGTCTGGAATATCGAATGTTCTTCGAGTTCTCGCTGTCAGTCAAAAATCGTGGGGTATCGCCTTTTTCCCGGCGCCACCTCAGTCGGCACCTTGTTCCCTCTATATCGGCGCTTCTGCGATGCGCAGCACTTCAAGGAGTCGACTGCATAATTGATCCGCCAGATTCGCCTCGATATCGTCCGCCGCTCACAGAGCCCACAGTCAATTACCGATCCCCTGACGCATATAACCCCTCCGGATTAAGCCCAATCGTACGCTTCGAATGTTGAGAATGCTTGATCAGAGAATCGACGCGGATCCCCTTTCAGATGCTCGAGACTCGAGACCCATAGTCTGTTAATATTACCATAAGGGAACTGGTTCGGGGGGATTTTCTCTCGGGAGTGTGAACAAGGAAATTAATAAATCATACCGTTTTTGCTTATTTTCTTTGATTTTGTTTCGGAATGTGATTCAGTTTCTTCTTTCAGTTTTTTTTTCTCAGTTTCCGCCTTTTAGGTTTTGGAGAATCTCTCGACTCGGGAGAATCTGGTTCTCTGTTCCCGTTGGAAGAACCTTTGTCCAATTTCTCGATCAAGCTCGCTCAACACTCACGCGGAGAGGTCTCTGTGTGATGCGCGATCTGTGCGATGGATCGCGAGCACGAATAAGACCTGATTTCTTCCCTTGTGCTCCTCATTTCCCTCATCTCCCGCTTCATCCCGCAGCTAGGATCGAGATTCAACTTGATTTCTGCATATTCAGAGTCTTGATTTCTTACGTGGTCGCGTAATGAATGACATGATTCATGCTCGCTCCATACAATCTCCGCGCTGTCCCCTCCGAATGTTGACCGACGCCTGCGGTACAATGATCAACTCTGTGGGTGTTTGAAATCTTCACACTTGTCTCTTGGTTGCCCGAGGCGTCTCGAACAAGCAGACGCTGAATATTCGCCAAGAATCTCTAGAGACGACCGCACGCAAAAACGTTGTGCTCGGTCAACGCCACATGCTTGAAAGGTGGACCGATGCCTGCCCCGACTTCTCATTCCATACATTTTGCACGCAGCGGCTCCCGCAGCAGCTCCATTGGCGCTGGGAAGACGAAGTCGCGAATGAAGGACCGAACTCTAGAGAACGCACAGCGTCCGCCTCGCAACGAGAAAAATATTCGTCATAGAGCCAAGACTCGTCAGCTTTGATATTCGATCGTGTTGCAATCAGATTATTCGGGTATACCATTTTCGATTCTTTTCCCGTTCGATATGTCCATACCGAGAGGCGTTTCCGACGAATTCCCAACTCATCCCTCTAAGAGCATTTCTGCGCGACCACGTCCCGTACAGCATGACCGGTCAGACATACATATTTGATGAATCACACGGTCGGTAGCCTCGGCTCCTTTTTGCGACTCTGGGTGAATGCATGAGACTATTCTAAGCATGGAGAGGGGACTCCGTGGAAGAGCGAACAAGCGAAAGATGGAGGCAGCAAAACGCGTCTGCCGAAGGCGCCAAAAGAGCGATCAGGAAAAACGATGGCAAAGGGCATTGGGTCGTGTCGAGAAGGACCTTCGTATTAGATGAGCAATTCGTTGGTGAGCTCCGGTCAATGTGCGTGGGCCTTCTCTCCCGAGCTGTTCGCTTGCTCTGCTTGCCTACGGAGCTGCCTACCTACACCCAATGCTTGTTCCGTTTTTTTTTCTCAAACGGTGCGGCGGCTTGACAGGTCAACCTATCGTGAGACAAGCCGGGCGAAGTAGTCGCTCTGCCACTTGGAGTGGCGGTGGCTTCTTATTGGATTCCGGCGTTCCTCACCGACACTTCTGCCTCGCCGAAGCTCGACGGGTCAACGCCACCGTCCCCGACGACGCTCACGACCTAGCTTGCCGGTAGCGGGAGTTCGACCTCCGGAGACGGAACTGTCAAGAAAAAAGCTCTCTCGCTCACTAAATTTTGAAACTGTCGAGCACGACGGCAACGGGGAGGGAATAGTGGTGGAGAAATGTTGCTCAAGGGATGTGAGCCAGTTAGCAGAACTGTAACCCACCGCGCAACCCACCGACGATTCAGTACCCAAGAGGAAGAAAGCTTGCCGGCAACGAATGGGCGGACGGAGAAACAAGCAGCCGGTTAGCTTGCAAGGTGGGATGGAGGTGCTTTGCTACGTGACCACGACAACTCCGTTCGGTCGTTGCACACGTTTGAGCAAAGACGTGCCGCTGCCAGGTATCCCGCAACGCATTTCCTTATTTTTCCACGGTACCTACAACGCCGATAGCTTCTGCTTCAGCGGCAAGCTGACCGAAATAATGCCGAGATGGGCCCAGAATGGGGAGGGGATTCGGGAAACCAGGCCAGGGTAAGCGAAGGACGTCGAACGTAGTGTCGGAGTAGGACGACTCGGGCAGCAATGCGACGGACATCGAGTGCCTCCGAAATCCGGAAAACACCTCAAGTTCGCGAGAAAGCGTCCGCTTGCCAGCTCATGACAGTTCCCAAGTCTACTTCTCTATCCGTCCCCGCATTTTCCCGCTCTGGGAACGGTATACCTCCACAATGAGCCTAATACACTGCTGCCGATGACACCTAGAGCAGTTCTTGTCAACGCAGCCTTCGATTGTCATACGACGAAGTTGTTTATCGTAACCCGTCGTTTGGGGAAAAGGGGGGGGAGAGTTGCCGCAGCGGCATCGGCGAAAGCAGCTGTGTGCGAAGGAGACGCTCGAGTAGGGCTTGAGAAAACATTGGAATGAGAATCAAGAGGTACCTCTGGAACAGAAATAGACGCCGAATCAAGGGCGCGGTGGGGCACGGGGCGGGGAAATGGAGCGGACCGTGCGTTGCGGCAAAACTGGTAAGAACGAGTGTCGTCCGCAGCCTCTGTGTTAACATGTTGTCCATGCTTCGTTTGTAAGCTTGGCCCGACCAGATTCCCACTACCGGCAGGAGCTCCTCGGAGATAAGAACAATTTTTCCTCCCTGGAAAAATCTTTTTTCGATCGAACAAGCTTGGCAGACGCGACTCTCGCTGCCGGGAGAGACTGATTCGAAGAGGAGTTGTGCACGGTTCGCGGAGTTTGGGAAATGGAAGCAAAATCTCGCGATCGCCGTGTGGATTATGTCCGAGAGGAGAAAGTGTCGAGCTCAATGGAAGGGAAAAATCTTGCTGTGGGTTTGATGTGGAACTGAATTAAGGTTGCATAATAATGCACTGGGAAATAAGTTCTTTAAGCTCCCTTCGTTTTTGCTTCCCTCGCTCGCTTGGCACCGGATGATTCGACGGCCTCGGAGGGCAGACCGACGACGGTGGGACGGGCAGACGGCCACCACGGCCAGCGATGGCGCGGCAGTCCAGCCGACCGAGCGAGGAGCGGTCGGGTGAGGATTTTTCTTCCCCGCCCCTGTGACGAATAATTTGCACGCGATTTATTCTCGGATGAAATTGAAATGGAAGAGCCCAAGGGTCAACGATGGGGGTGAGATAATCAGAAATTCGGAGCAGCTTCGCAACAGGGAGCGATGGCTGACTTATCGATTCAGGCCTGAGGGATTGTCCCGTTCGTCTCCGCTGCCATAACTTCCCCATACGAAGCTCGTACCAGACGCCGGATACTCCTTTGATTCATTCCTCCGGTCGAGCTTCGGCTCAGCTTCCACACAGTCGACCGTTTGCTCGCTGGCGACGATTCTGAATGAGTTGGAGCCTCCGTGCTCGGATCCGGTCGGTCAACTTGTCTGGCAGCCGATGGGTACATATACTGTCCGCTCATTATTCTGCAGGAGAATTCAAGTTCTCTGCGTTCTGCTTCGAAACGCCCTCGGTCCATAGAATAATGAAGCTAAGCATCGTGACGAGCTCGACGATTCCTTCGCACACACCCGTTCGGAGATATGCCTCGCTACCGAGTCTCTTCCATCGACGCAGTAGGTAGTTCTTCGCGCCGTAGGCGCAACTGCCTCGTCGCACGCACATGAGAACACCTTTTAATCGAGCTCAATCGCTTGTGTAATAGCAGAGAACAGAACAAGGCCTCGAATCGCGCATCGGTGCTGGAATTCGCTCCGACCCCGCTCGAATTTCTCCGCGAGTCGACGCTCCCCGAGCTTGGCCGAAACGTGCCGGTCGGGCCTCGGCGCGATCATGAGTTGCTCGCAACGCGCAAAATTTTCAAAAGAAACCACCGAAACAGTGTATCATGCAGCGTGAGGCGATAAGTTGGGTGGAGTTGGTTATTCCGTCACGGAAATCAAAAAGTCTGACTTTGCTGTCCATCGGACTCCGCCGATAGAAAGTAAAGGAGAGAGGGAAGTGGGACCAAGTCGACTGGTCGGATCGAACAAGACTAGCAATGGACTTCTTACGTATTGGCGAACGTCTAGTAGAGAGCGAACCTCTCTGACGGGACTTTCAGCCCCCGATTGACGCTTCATTCTGACGCACTCTAATAAGAGTGGAGCTCATAAAGAATTCGACGAGGCCCGAATCTCTCCCAGAGACATGTCCCATCTCAAATTGCATCATGTGAACCCGATTACCACGTTCTTCGGCAACAAGAATTGAACCACTTTCGCTGGGCCTTGGAATGATGCAAATCGCTTCGTCGACGTTCGCTAGGGGATTTTTGCAACCTACATGCCTCTCTCACTTCCTTGTTATAGACTGCTACTTTGTTCCTCGGCGGAGCTTTTTTTTCTGTATATCTTTTCTTCACGGTCCGCTGACCGGCTCGCGTGTCCTCCGCTCTGTAAACACTCGCTGACGAAGACTGAAAACGTCTTCGGAGAGGACTCTAATTAGTGCCCCGGCTACTGCTTCCGGATCGTCGCCTTGGACGCCAGTTCTCGTGGTCGACGCTGTCAGTGACGTCCACGTTGAATTCGATTCCTTTTTCCAGGGAAGTCTGGGAATCGGAACAGAAAATTATGGAAGATAGCTGCAAGCTATGCCAAGAAAGCAAGAAGCAGAAACAGCTGCAAAAACGAGGACACGAACACACTCCTTTGATTTCGCCCATGTCTCCGCACTGTCCGTTCCACGCTGATTCGCCAA